GGAGCCCGATGCGGGACTCGATCCCGGGACTCCAGGATCATGACCTGAGCCGAAGGCAGTCGCTTAACCAACTGAGCCACCCAGGCGCCCCGCCTCTCTCACCTTCTTAATGCCCTTCTCCATGGATTCAGCTCTACCTGCCTTTCAAGAGCCCACTCATGTCATTTTCTCCTTGAAGTCGTTCCTGATCTCAGCTCTCTTTCCCTTTCACCCTCTTAGCCAGGAGTGATTGTTCCCTATTCTGAATTCCCATACATTTTATTTCTGCCCCTTGTGGGTTTCTTACTGACTATAAGCCACCTTGTACATCTTGGTATCTCCCACAATAGCTAATATTAGGTACTCAGGGGTGCCTTGGTGGCTAAGCATCTGCCTTCGGCTCAGGTCATGATCCCAGGGTCCTGGGATCAAGTCCCACATCAGGCTCCCGGCTCAGTGGGGGTCTGCTTCTCCCTCTCCCACTTCCCCCCGCTCATGATCTCTGTCTCTGTGTGTGTCTCTCTCTCTCAATAAAATCTTTTAAAAAAAATATTAGGTTCTTGGTAGGTGTTTACTGACTAAAAAAATTGTATATTTACAATGTCTTCATTGTAACATAATAGGCTTAAGCTCAATGAGAGTAGGAACTATGACTATTTCATTCCCATTCTGTATTTCCAACCCCTAGCACAGAGGAAACACTCAATAAACATTTGTTTTTGTTTTTGTTTTTTGTGGGTTTTTTTTAAAGATTTTATTTATTTATTTGACAGAGAGAGACACAGCGAGAGCGAGCGAGCACAAGTAGGGGGAGTGGGAGAGGGAGAAGCAGGCTCGAGCCCGATGTGGGGCTTGACCCCAGGACCCCGGGACCATGACCTGAGCCGAAGCAGACGCTTAACGACTGAGCCACCCAGGCGCCCTCAATAAACATTTGTTAAATGAAATACATTACAGTTACCAGTTATTGGGATATAAATTTCTTCATGACACAATGGATATCTGGAAATACTACTTTATGTTATATTTTGAAAAATCTTCATTATCAATGTTTCTTCATTTTATATTCACAAATACTCTGTGATAAAGGTCATGTATTAATATTGTCACTTTACAGAAGAGGATACTGAGGCTTAAAGAAATTAAGTAGTTTATTTATGATCATATGGCCAATGAGTAACAGAACTGAGTCTAAAATTCAAGTCTTCAGATGTGAAGTTTAGAGTTTTTCTTGGCTAATGATGGTTTGGCCAAAGGCTAGTTTGGTTCCATTTGCTTTAGGATTGTTGGGGTTAAACTATTGCAGTCGTGTAATCATTCCATCCAGTGGAGTAGAACCAGATCCTTGATTGACCCATTGTCTGTATTTTGGGTATTTTCAAAGTCAAACAAAACACTACAACTTTTCTGAAGGAAATCTTGGCCACTTCGCTCACTCCCTCCAAGATGAGATGCCTGTCTCTTCAGGCACTCTTCTCCTTGTAGACTTCTATCCCTAGTTGGTTTGGCTGTTAAGATGTGGGTCTGATTTCAGCTCTCAGCATAGAGAGTAAGTAGGTCTCCAAGTATTTGCCAGGCAGTACAGTCTGGCACTTACCACTACATAGTATTCATTGAAAGCATGGGGGAAAGATTGAGGGAGACTTGCTTGATGCACAAGCAGTCATTCCCTTTTCATATTCATTTACTCTTAAGTCAGATCAGCAGGAAGCTGAGTACCTAGCCTCCATAGACTTGCCTTTACTAGATTGCTGTTTATTCATTTGCCATCAGGCTGGATATGAAGGATCATTATAAGAAACAATCCTCTGAAACTACTTCATCTATTATAAAAATATTGTGGGACATTATTCATTATGAGACACTGTGTCTTTTATGAAAATTTCTTGAAAGAAAACTGTCAAAGCTTAATACAAAGAATGCTTTTATCTCTTCTGAGCAATTGCTTTGTTTTTACCTTATGGACACTGTGAATGTTTAACTTAACGCTCTCTGGTTAGCTGCCAAAAAGCTTACAGCCAGATTTGTGGCCCACCCATAGCAAATGTGCTCTATGCCTCGTTAACTTTGTTCCTGGCTCTAGTTTATGTCTCTGCTGAAGTTATTCTCTCTTAAGAAAATCTTAATTCATGCCATCTAATTTTGTATATCTATATTAATATGTATATATATTTTTTCTCATAAACAGCCTTCTATTGTTTCTGAAATAGTTCAGATTATGATATACTGTATGCACATAAAACCATTTTTGGTGCTTCTTAGTTACCTCATTTACTTTAGGCTTTTTCTCTTGAGGGGTATATTTATTTTTCTGTATAGTTTTCACAGGGTTTTAATCACAGGAAAATGGTTGTGCCACAAAATTTTATTATTTTAGTAGTGTAATCAAGTGGTAGAAACCTGGTCTAATGGGGAGAATTGATTAAATTGATTATTCTAGCCCAGTCTTTCACAGAAATGGTTACATTTTCTTACAATATGCTTTGTTTTGTACTGTATCTGCATGTGACTGTTTATTGCTTTGTGATTTGTAGTGATGTTGTAATGCTGCCAGGTCATGAATAGCAGTTAACTCTCTTTTGCTCAAATATTGTTACCTTCCACACTGATCAGACTTCTTGTCTTTGTTAGCACCTTACCTTGGGTGATCATAAGTGTATTAATCTTACCATATAATTTGTCTTGCTCTACTCTAAATTAGTCATGCTTTTGTTTGGACAAGATAATAGGAATAGATGTTTGTTTACAAACTTCATTTGCTTCCATTGGTATGGAGTACTATCTAGATTTTCTGATCACCTTACTAATATCAATTAATAATATAAATACTATTAGTACAACATTTTATATTCTTTTAATACCTTCAAGTAAAACTATTTGGCCTTTTCTACAATTCACTAAGGCATGTAAAGCAAATGTATACCCTTTTTACAGACAACAAAAGCAAGGACAAAATCATTTAAATTTTGTGGTAGGACTGGGGCTAGATCCAGGTCTCTTGATTCCTGTGCCTAACTACCTTTCAATTTACAAAAAAAAAATCTAACTTATATATATTTTTTAAAGATTTACTTATTTATCTGAGAGGGAGAGAGCACAAGCAAGGGGAAGGGGAGAGGGTGAAGCAGACTCCCTGTTGAGCTGGGACCCTGATGCGGGGCTCTATCCCAGGACCTGGAGATCATGACCTGAGCCGACGGCAGATGCTTAACCACCTGAGCCACCCAGGTGCCCCCTAACTTATAAACATTACATAGTCTTTATCTTACCACTTGAGGTTAAAGATGGGAAGTGGACTAGGACATATTATATCACTCATGCTCACAACTCAGGCAGAACCAGGAATGTTTTTTATTTGTGTTACTCTCACAATTTTCTGTTCTTGAAATTGTGGTTCCTTTTAACTACAACTCTAATCACTGTCACTTTCCATTATGGAATGAGGAAGCAATATTTTTATCTTATCTCTTGAAAATTAACGTTGAAATGGAAACTATTTCCTTTGTTAATGAGCAGCATTTTTCTTTAGACTCTTTGAAAATTCACTTTAATGTAAAAATAATTTGCCGTTATTATCATGCATAAAGGGCCAAATAAGTATATGGTTAATGCTAGGACGTTTCATAAATGTTTGTTATAATTTTAATGAAACTGTGCATCTAAAGAGGAAATTAAAAATTCATGCTTATTGTTTCAGCATGAAATGTTTCCAAAGTTTTCATTCTAACTGTTAACATATAGCACATAAGTTAGGGTCTCTTGAATGTTTACTCTTAGCCAGGTATTGTTGCTGAACATTTTACAATTATATTTAATCTTTACCAAAACCCTGTAAGAGTAGCTTCTATTTATGACCCTCATTTTATACCCAGGTATCATATTCAACAGTATATATTATCTTCTGCCTCTCCTTCAGCTTCTGGAATTTCTAATCAACCCTGATCAGTACAAGATGGACCCCGTAGTCTTGAGTTATATGGACAGTCTACTGCGGCGATCAGATGTCTCACTGTTGGATCCTCCAAGCTGGCTCAATGACCATATCATTGGATTTGCCTTTGAGTACTTTGCCAACAGTCAGTTTCATGACTGTTCTGACCATGTCTGCTTCATCAGCCCCGAAGTTACCCAGTTCATCAAGTGCACTAGCAACCGAACAGAGATTGCCATGTTCCTTGAACCCCTGGACCTCCCCAACAAGAGAGTTGTATTTTTAGCCATCAATGATAATTCCAACGAGGCAGCTGGGGGAACCCATTGGAGTTTGTTGGTTTATGTACAAGATAAAAATAGCTTTTTTCACTATGATTCCCATAGCAGAAGCAACTCAGTCCATGCAAAGCAGGTAGCAGAGAAACTGGAAGCTTTCTTAGGCAGAAAAGGAGACAAACTGGCCTTTGTGGAAGAGAAAGCCCCTGCTCAACAAAACAGCTATGACTGTGGGATGTATGTGATTTGTAACACTGAGGCCTTGTGTCAGAACTTCTTTAGGCAACAGCCAGAATCACTATTGCAGCTACTCACTCCTACATACATCACAAAGAAAAGAGGAGAATGGAAAGCTCTCATTGCCAGACTTGCCAAAAATTAGCTATCAAACTGTATCTGTGACTTTTGAAGTCTCTTCTTTCTGCCCATCCCCATTTATTGGATGGCTGCAGTCTCAGTGCCTGAAGGAAGCTGCCTAGTAGAGGGAAGCTTAGTGTTCTCATTTTTCCCTGGAAGAATGTCATCCTCTGCATTATCCAAATGGAAAGTTTCACTTTAACCCTAACTTGAGAGCAGTGTGCAATGTGACAATTTCTTCAAGTTATGTATCAAAACCTTAAAACCACGCTATCTTAACATTTATTAATTCCCTTTTTGTCTCCCTTATCCACATTGGCTTATTCCAGAGGAAAAGCAATGATCTTTAAAGAAATCAAGTATACGTGAAATCTAGAGGAATGCACGAAGAACGTTATAGAAGAATCAACGTATTGCACAGAGATCAACTGGCTAGAAGCAGGTCAAGATCTAACCTAATTCAAGATCTAAATATTAGAATCAAATACTCGTTTCTGTGGTATCTCTTCCATTCACCATGCAGAGGCTTTCCTGGCTATCTTTGTAACCTTTGCAGATATTTGATAAAAATGATGTTAGCCCATCTTCCCCCATCTGATTCCTGGACTGCTTTAAGAAAGGGGGGATCTTGGGCGCCTGGGTGGCTCAGTCGTTAAGCGTCTGCCTTCGGCTCAGGTCATGATCCCAGGGTC